ACAAACACAAACAAACACAAACAAACACAAACAAACAAACACACACACAAACAAACAAACAAGCAAACAAACAAGCAAACAAACAAACAAACAAACAAGCAAGCAAGCAAGCAAGCAAGCAAACAAACAAACAAGCCAACAAGCAAACAAGCAAGCAAGCAAGCAAGCAAGCAAGCAAGCAAGCAAGCAAGCAAGCAAACAAACCAACCAACCAACCAACCAACCAACCAACCAACCAACCAACCCAACAAACCCAACAAACCAAACAAACCAAACAAGCCAAACAAACCAAACAAACCAAACAAACCAAACAAACCAAACAAACCAAACAAACCAAACAAACCAAACAAACCAAACAAACCAAACAAACCAACCAACCAAACAAACAAACAAACAAACAAACAAACAACCAAACAAACAAACAATCAAGCAAACAAACAAACAAACAAACAAACACACACACAAACACACACACACACACACAAACAATCACAAACAAACAAAGAAGCAAACAAACACAAACAAACACACACACACAAACACTCACACACACACAAACACACACAAACAAACACAATCATTCACAAACAAACAAACAAACACAAACAAACAAACAAACAAACAAACAAACAAACAAACCAACGAACCAACTAACAAGCAAACAAGCAAACAAACAAACAAACAGACAAACAGACAAACAAACAAACAAACAAACACACAAACACACAACCACACAAACACACAAACACACAAACACACAAGCACACAAACACACAAACACACAAACACACAAACAAACAACCAAGCAAACAAGCAGCAAGCAAGCAAGCAAGCAAGCAAGCAAGCAAGCAAGCAAGCAAGCAAGCAAGCAAGCAAGCAAGCAAGCAAGCAAGCAAGCAAACAAACAAACAAACAATCAATCAAACACACAAACACACAAACACACAAACACACAAACACACAAACACTCTAACACGCAAACACACAGACACAACGACACACAGACACACAGACAGACAGACAAACAAACAACCAGACAAACAAACAAACAACCAACCAAAAAGCCATCAATCAAGCAGACGACAGACAGAGACAGACAGACACACGGACGGACGGACGGACAGAAAGTGCAGACAAAACAACAAACAAACACACACACACACAAATACATTCACACAAGCAAACACACATATATACACAAACACACACACACAGATACAGACAGACGCACATCTTCATTCGCATAGGTGGAACATGGCAGAGAGCTGCAGCCTGCGCCTGAAGTCTGCCTTCTTCCTCCACGCGGTGCAGGCCTTTGTTTTTTTGCGGCACGTGCGGAGGATTTTCCAAGGGCAATACCGTGGATGGATCAATCTCCTGCACCAGTCTGTGGCTGGTGTTTTTTTTCCCTGGTCTTCATACACATTCAGTAGGGCTGGTTTTCCCAACTGCAGGAGTTCGTGCCACAAAGCCTGAATTGGTGGTTTGGATTGGAGCCGAACCCCGCAGGTCTTGGAGGCGTTTGTGTCACCGAAAGGGGCCATGTTCTACCAATGTGGAGTCACAGGGGTTCCTTTTGACACGGAGAAAAGACATTCCTCGTAAGGAGAGTCACCCCTTGGTATTGTCCTCCGGATCAATCCGAAGCTGACATTTTGCCATGGGGCGTGAATCCGTTTCCCTCTTGCGTGGTTAAGTATGATCTGTTGGGCGAAAAAAGATGGAGTTTCTTTCAGGAGGCGGCCTACATGTCTCTTTTCGGGTGGTTTGAGGGCTTCACTTTTTGGAAATTGGGTTTCTCCATGCTGGGGGTGCTGAATTTTTTGGTGTTGATGTTGCAAATGCACATTTGACGAACCCTGCACTTGATGACACTTTGGGGCTCCGTAGGCTCGGCGACTGTCGGGCAGTTTTCCCCAAAGGGTTGCTTTTTTGGTTGCGCGGTGGCCCATTTCTGGCGCAGGTGGAAAACGAGGAGCAGGCGGGCTGCTGGGATCGGGGCTGGCAGCATGCCGCCCAGCGGTTCTTCTCCCTCTTTGCTAACTACTGTTGTTCGGTTTCGCCCCAATGGATCGATTTCCCGGCATCAGGGTCGTGACGCTTGTAAACTTCGAATATGTCCCGCAGTTGTTCAGAAACAAGCAGCACTCTGTACCCTGAACCGTACGAAGAAACAACACCTGCACTGTTGGAACCCATGTATCATTTCGCAAAGAGAGGCTAAGAGTCCTTGAATTGCGCCCATCGCTTTGTTCTTTGCTAGCTTGTTGAGACTTGTTCGTTCTCATCGTTGAGATGGAGCCGGAGATTGAAGTGCCCCCCCCCCCCGCAAGGGGAAACGGACGCTCATTTCACGGACGTTTACCATGCTATCCGTGGCGCAGGGCGACGCTTAATATCAGAATTCCAGATGAGCATTGTAAGGACTGTGCTTGGAGGGCCCCCCAATCGGTTGGACATTTGTTCACAGAGTGTGCCAGCTGTTGCACCCGATTGAGAAAGGCACTCAGCTGGCCCAAACTCTCAGCGCGCCGAAGAGTGGGACAGACTCATTTGAGGGCATTGGCTTCCTCTAGTTTGCCCCTTCCCGAGCGCTCGCCGTGCCCTGTTTGCGATCGCTCCTTCCGAGCGCGGTGTGCGGGCTCCGTGTGAATTCCTAAGCCCGCTGTCCAGCCTTTCGACCTCTTGGTGTTTCCAAATCGGATGTGTCAAGGCGCCAAAGGTTGAAAGGGCAACGCCGAACGGGTCCAAAGGTCCTCCTTTCTGCAGGCCCAACTTATGCGAAAGGGTCGAAAGGGAGCAACTCTGTGAGGGGAACTTCCGCTGTTTTGCTGCTTGGGCAAGCGAAAAGGAACCTTGTTTGGCGGTCCTCCAAGTTTTGAGACCAACCCATTTGGGTTTGTGTGAAAGCGGGGGAACCTCCAAGTTCGCAGTTTCAATTTGGGTTCCCCCTTAAGTCGACCCAAACAGGAGACCCTGAAAAAGTCCCCCCAACCGTTGGTTCTGCACCCAGCGCGCGTGCGAGGTGGACTTCATCGAGGAGGAGTGTGCCCAGCGCTCCGCGCTGGCGATAAGGTTCCAAGACCTCCGCAGCGCGCATCTGGACGAGGAGTTTTGAGGGCTCAACATGGTTGTTGTTGGGAAACATGTTACATTTTTGCTTATTGCCCACTTAACTGCTAGAATTTGAATTTTTGCTCCCCTTCCAACGTCAACCAAGTCAAGAAGGGGCCGACAAGCCTTATTTGGAGACTAAAAATAGCGTTCAGCTGGAGAAAAAGTAGGTAGACGGTAGGAGTTTGCGTTCACTTTTGTCTTTGGTTGACTCTCTCTTTTTTTTTTCTTCCTTTTTTCGTTTGGGGGGAGGGGGGGACATGGAATGTGTGGTACCTGGACCAACTTCCTGAAAAACGTGTCAGCCCTGTTCCAAGGGGTTGGCAAAAGGGAGGGTTTCTTTTCGGACCCATTTCGGTGGGATAAAGGGCGAAAACAATTCACCCCATGTCATTTGAGCCAAGAACCTGACAAAGCCAACCCCCCATGCAAAGGACACAAAAGGCCAAAACCTGCCGCACCTATTGGTGTGGTGGACCCCCGTTTCAGGTTGGCTTGATTCTTTGTTTTGGGTTTGTTTGGGGACTTTTGGATGCCAGGTTGCAACTATTGGCTGTGGGCCCCAGAAAGAAAAAAGCACGACTTTTTGGAAATCGCAGGGTTGAGCCTCGACTCCCTTATTGGAAGTATTCACATACCTTTGGAAGATCAGGGCTCGGATGACTTTCCATGCACCTTCCATGATCTCTTTGAATAGCTCTTCTCCGGCTGGCAAACCTCTTTTGGTTTTTCTAACAGAGGCTAATGGGAAGCCACGAGCAGAAGAAACCATCCAGGAAACCAATAGGACGCCAGCCGGTGTTCCGCCCCTACACCCACGGGGCATTCCAGGTCCTTTTGTTTCTATTGGGGACATGTGAGGTTCAGGCAAACTTTCGCATCTATGGAGGGACATGGTTCTCCAAAGTGGGGGGGGTACTAGCCTGATCTTCCCCAAAAGACTCGTTGCGAGGACCACACGTCCCACCTACCAAGGGGCTGGGATATCGCCCGCGCCATTCTGAGCCAACTTCAACGTTGACCGCGGCCCTCCCGGTCGTTCTTTCTGTGCGAGCCGCTCGCCTCTCGCCTACGGCTCGAGGGTTGATTTAGCTTTCGGGGAACGTTGGCAGCCGACACCAAGCTCGCACCAGTGGGCCCGATTTGAACCGAGATCCAAGCTTTTGGGTTTTTTCCCCCCATTCCCAGTAGCTAGCCTATTAGCCTATTTTTCATGTCTAAGGTCCCAAACACGCAACCGGTTGGAGGCAAGAGAACCAAAGCCCTCTGGAAAGCGTTTGCTTGGGTGCCGGCTGCTCTCGATTTGTACGCATAAGTATAAGCATAAACTGAAGCGCCCGGGTTTGCGTGGAACGTGCCTGGACTCTCAAGCCGCCCGGACAAAAATGGGATGCCCCCGAAAGTTATGGGCTGATTTCCTATGTTTCAGGGTAGTTTGGGGGTCCAGGTGGATATTCTTCAACTGTGTTGCTTTGTGAAAGAAGCCGCTCGGTGCGCCTCGGTGTCATTGCACGGACCCATGCCTTACTCACCCCAGCATGGGACCTGTCGATTTGTGGCATGGCACAGGCGATCTGGGCAAATGGCATTGCGACATGGGCTTGTAACCGAAAACTCATGATGCAGGCGATGAAGGTTGGTTGGTCATGTTCTACTTTGCTGATAATAGTTCCCTTTGATAACCACTCAATTTGCCCAGATATTTGCATCAAACATTTGTGCCACCCACATAATTCATCGCAGAACATCTCTCGGGCGTTTTGGCCTGCCCTTTTGAGATGTCACTCCGCTGACTGAGCTTGATGCCTCTTTCGAAGGTGGTTATGCCGAAGCTATAGATCTATGGGCAATGTGGAGTAGTGACCTGATGTACGGTAGCCTCCACATCACATCCACAACATGAATAGACACAAACACACATTGCTGTAAGCATAGGCAGTTGCTACAACACATATGTAGAGGAAATATGCAATTGCATTATACATACTATAATATATACACATATATATATATAACAGTATGTACACATGCACATTATATATATATATATATATTTGTTATTATATATATATATATGATAGATATAATACAATATAGCGGGACTTGTGGAGAAATCGTTCAAGGGCATACATGTGCGCATGTGTACGCAGTGAGATATGCATATCGTGATATTTCCCTCTCAGTCGGCTGGGTCTTTCTAATGGTGCGAGAGGGATGGGGCAGGGAATGCCTATGAGCAAGCAAGGCAAAGTGAAGGCATTCCCAGGCAATCCTTGTGGTACCTACGGATGCTTGAGCTGCCTGTAAAACAGGGCTGTCGGAGTAGAATTCGCAGAATAGCTGAAGGCCAATCAAATTCGATGTTCTCTTCCAGTGCGAGGCGGGAAAATGGCTGGCCGTGTAGGCCAGGGTGTGTTTGATGCTTCCAGCAGGCTGCACATTCACAGGGAAGATGACACACCACGTGACTTTCTCGCGCTCCTGCCTGATTCATGGTGGTTCAGGTGGAAATCGAACGGGCCCCGCAGGCAAGCGAAATCATGTAACCGGGAACCTGGTCGCTGTCAATCAAGTAGCCTCACAGATTGGAGCAGGAAATCGGAACGGTGGGACACTTTTGGAGGGTGCCCGGTGGTCAGCGTTGCTGTCCTTTTGCTTGTCGAGTCCATCTGCGACCTTTGCAAATAGCCCTAAAATCAGCACGCCAAGAGACCCAACAGCTTCAGCAAGCGGCAGAAGATGCCCATCTTGGGGATCTTAGGATTCTTGGAGCCTCCTCTCCTGCCATCCGGTGGAGCTCTGGCCATGTACCCGGGCCTCGCGTCCAAGTCCAAGTGCTCGGGGGCCCAAGAGCGAAGCGGAGCTGTGCCTCCGCGCGAAGGGTTCTCTCTTTTTTCCCACCTGGTTTGGCTGAAAGCTGCACGGGCCCAAGGGAAAACCGCGGTTCTATCGCAAGGGGTTTATCGAAATCTGCTTGGAGTTCGTGCTGGTATAGATGCTATCTGTCTCTTTGTGCTCTTTTGGGGTTCGCTGTAAAAGGGTGCCCTTTTTGCCTGCCGCTGCAGTTCTGGGGTCAGATTTTGGGGGCCCGGGTTTGGCCACTGGTGGCGGAGCTAACGCGCACGTGGCTCAAGCGTCGAAGGTGGTTGTTGCGCAGAGGGATACCATGCCCACTACCCCGGGAACCGTGGTTGCGCTTATGGCCTGAGGAAGGGCTGGTCAGTAAGGCCTCCTTTTGTTGGTGAAGGGTTATAAGACATCAACCTTTACAACCATACGAGGGGTTTGGTCGCCTGTATTAAACTTTTAGGGTTTGGGCTCTCAGGGTTTTGAATATTTCCCATGTTAGTGTTTGGCAGGCCAGGGTGACATGGTTTCATTTGAGGGGAGCGAGCGCTCTTGACCGGAATGGAACGCCATGGGCGGCCATTTTGGCTCAAGCCAAAATCGCATCTGTTTTCTTTTTTTTCTGATTGTGCCATGCTCGGTCATGCGGTTCGCCGTGCAGCTTGGTCCACTACTTCAGTGGACTCGGCAGCGAACCTGCTTGCCTTCAATATGTGGGCCAATCAGGCTGAAAGATCCGAGGTGGCTGCGATCCTATGCGACATCTGCATTGTGGTCCATGCCCCCTATGAGTATGTGCCCCTGGTTTGCCAGGGGCTGGACGTCATCCACGTCCCCTGTGTGGAAGATGGGTGCCTCCGTTGCAGGGATGCACGAGGAGGATGCCGATTCGCCTGGCTTCACCCATCGTCACTCCCATCTCTTGGAGGGCGGACCCTTCCCTTCCCGGAGAACCAGAGGCAGCTGGCTTGGGAGGAAATCATGCCCTTGGTGGATACCACACGGAGCCTCGAGACCTTCTGCCCCCTCTTCATGCAGGTCCTCCTGGACCGGCCGGAAGACACCCTGGTGCCCCGGAGGACGCTCTTCTATGTGTGGGCGCATTGGCACCGAGCTCGCCAAGGATGGGTTGACCCCCAGTTCATGGAGGACCGGAGGGGCAGGCTGGGGTCCGAGTTGCTGCAATGTGGATCCATGTTGGCGGTTTGGCATGAGCAGGCGCGGGCAGGGTTGCCTATGCTCCCCCCGTGTGGCTGGTGTGGATTGCCAACCGGGAACTTTTGTGAGGTTTGTGATGGCCCCATTTGCAACGGATGTGAAGATGAGTTCGCGTACTGCCGGCGTTGCTGTACTGCACCTTGAGGTTTCAGCCCAAGACACCCCTGGTGTGGTTGGGAAGCCCGCCAGTGAAGATGCGGCCTGGTTGCTCCAGGCCTTGATGGGGACAGTCATCATGGTGCTGTTGTGCCCCCCAAGGAGTTCAGCTGCCACCAACATCAGGTTGCCTGAACCCCCCGGAACCCGAGGATGTGGTGGAAGCCGCAGCCTGGGCGGCCAAGGCATCAGAATGGCGCCAGCGCCATGACCTGCAGAACGAGGGAGACTTCGCCTTCTGCTTCACGGACGCTGACCAGGCAAGGGCAGTGGGTCCCTGGATGGTTCCAAATGGCAGATCTGGCCCGGGGCTTTTGCTGTGGAACCCATGGAGTGGTCCCCACCCCGGAAGCCCCTGCCACGCAGGCCAGTCTCTGACAGGCAGGTCCTGCCCCTTGCCCCGGTCCAGCAGGACGCCAGAGCCAGGAGCCAGGTGGAGCAGCTGGTCAACATCTTGGTGTGCGGCCAGCCCCCTGTGCCCTACGTTGTTCCAGAACGAGACAAGCAGGAGGCTGTGGCAAGAGAGCAGAGCAGGCAGTGAGCACTAGTGAACCTGCCACCATCCACAGGGCCATTTGCACATGGGACGAGCTGGTCTGTTTTCTCATGAGTTGCAGGCCCCAGGAGTGGAGACCTTTGTCCATGCACACAAGGCCCCTGGTAGGGCCTTTACGTCACTCAAATGGCTGGCCCGGAACCTCCTGCTCAGGCTACCAGTGGATCAAGTTTTGCCACCTAGAGCGTCAAAGCCGCAGGCCGCTCTGGGGACTGGCGCCAAGCAGGCCCCGGTGCTGGAGCCAGCAATGATCGCCACCTTGGAAGCCGCGATCCGGAACAGCCACGATGTAGGCCATCCGGCATGGTTGGGGCTCTTGGGACATTGGATCCAGATGACTGGATGTGCCCGGATGGCGCATCTGACTAGAGCCTATGTTCTCAGGGTCAGCCCTTCCATGGTCCACTGCCATTGTCCAAAGGGAAAGCAGCGGCAATTGCGAGCCTGTGGGTTTGATTTTGCAGTACCGCGCTTTTTCATGTGCACTTCTTTTGACTGGTGGAAAGCCTTCAAGCCTGCTTACTTCGCCTTGTCCCAAGAGCAACGCAAGCAGCTGGGTTTGGTTTTTGACACCATAAAGAAGGCCCCCCTGACCCGTGAGGCCACGGTCACTGCGGTGAGGACCGCCCTGAGCCAGCAGGTACAAGAGGTGCAGATGCTGACCAGTTACTCAGCAAGGAGGGTGCTGCCGACCCTGGCCATGCTGGTTGGCATGGATCCCAGCGAGACGCTCGCCCTCTCACTGGCAGCTGAAGCCGGCGGATGAGCAGTCTGCCATGCCGCTGCGGTACTCGTCGGCCAGATACCACGTCTCAGCGGGTGAAGCTACTGCTGGTCGGGGCCCTCAGTCGAGCTATCAGTGACAGCAGAGCCACAACTTGGGAAAGTTTGGGGGTTGAGCAGTGGAAGAGCCACATAGCCCATTGCACGCATGAGGTGGACCGCATGTTAGTTGCAGAGGCACGCAGTGAGTGGACTTCTGTGGATCTTGCGGCTCGAAGCATTCGACGGTTTGCCCTCCGGTCACCCGCTACGAGTATGGCATACCAGGATCAGCCCCTGTTGGGTGCCATTCCAGGCAAGGTGCTGCGCCTGCGATTGAAGAGCGCAGGGGTGATGCTGTGTGTCAACTTTCAGACTCGGCAGTGTGAGGATCCTGACTGCCAGAAGGAGCATAGATGTGCAGTCCTTTGTGGCAGCGGCCGTACCTGTGGTGGACAGCATCCGGCCATCGACTGCTATGAGAAGCGTTACCTGCGTGAGGAGCGCTTCCGCATGGATCAGGACGAGCAGTGGCCCCATGTTGGACCTAGCTCCAGCAGGCAGCCCCCATCACCAGCTTCGGGCAGTGGCCCTGAGGCATCAGGAAGCCACGAGGCACCGGCCGGGGTTTCGTTGGGAGGCGTCCCCTTGCCAGTGCGGCCCATGCCCAGCCCATCTGGTGCTGCGGGAGCAGTGCCAGAGCCTCTGCACCCCCCGTCTGCGGCAGCCCTAGCCGCAAGTCGGGGCAGGAAGAGGGCCCGAGATGAGGAGGTGGAGATCATCGATGAGGTGGCGAACTTGGATGCGGAGGCTGATGAGGTCTATGACCAATGGGCCCACGAGCGGTGGAGCAGGCCAGGCCACAGCGGCCAGCCGGAGCCACCTTCCAGAGTGAAGCTGGGCCGGGGATGGTTTCGGCTCAAACAATCTTAATGCTCGACCCCTCACCCCCCCCTTCCCCCCCTCACCCCAAAAACCCACCGAGCCTTCAAAGGCTCCCCCCTCGCGTCTGACTCAGGCCCGGCGCCGCCGCCCAAGCCGCCGCCGCAGCCGCACTTCTCCAAGGCGGCCGGTGGCCCAGGCGCGCGGACGCGCGACGAAGCTGATCGTCGGTGGGGGGTTCTTGGGTTTTCGTGGGGAAAGCCGCGGGCTGTTTGCGTGTTTTTTTGGGGGGAGGGGGGAAGCTGTTTTTTTTGGGGCTGGTTGGTTTATGCCAACATCTTTTTGGGAGAGAAAACTGGTGGATTCGTAGTTCTTTCGGAGTTGGGCTGTGGTTTCGCATCAAACTTAACAATTTTGCGGGTTCCCCTAGTTTTGCTTTGCGATTTTTGTGAGTCGGTACCCTTTTCAGCTAGAAGGGACACCAAGAAGAAAGCCATCCCATTTGGGAGTCCTTTGATACATACCCATATTTGAACCTTGAATGCATTTAACAAACACCTTGCGTATTCAAGGCGAGCCCAGTTGGGGGCAAAACGAGTTCTCTATGATGTAGGTCATTTTCTTGGGGGTCCCTTTCATGTTTTGGAAGCAGGGCAAGCATGCCGAACATTTCGCGGGGAACCTACTTTTGACACATTCCCGAACGATTCAAACTCGGGCGACAATGGGCATAGCCCTGGTTAAAGCCCTACTTAAAGGGCCACTTAGACTTATATCCATGGTAAGGTAGTGCCCTGCCCCCCTACTGAGTGCAACTTGTCAATCACTGAGTCTTTGCCCTATCGGCACCGAAGGTCGGGTACGGCCCTTGGCAAGGGTAAAAGCTTCGCATAAATTTCCACGGGGGAATGGGGGGCGGTGCCCCCAATCTTTCCAGTGCATTCCAAAGGATCAGCCAGCCAAGCTCGCCAGGCAATGTGCACACCCGGCTTCGAGAGCCCCCTCTGAGCTTTCAAGACATGTCGTGGGTTGTGGGCCTTTGCTTCACAAGTCGGACGTCGGCCATGGCTACTGTGGATGGTTGCGAAATCCAGAAATCGCACCCCTTGGAAACCATTTTTTGAAACCATAGGTTGGTATTTGAAGGAGAGTCTCGGATCCTTCCAATGTTTCGGTGGTGCGATTTCTGGGATTTCGCAACCATCCACAGCACGTTTGAGCGATTCTGGGAACGCGGCTTCGCTTCACGGGGCTGAAGCCGGGCTCGGGCAAACGTGCGACAGCCGAACTTTTTCAACCTGGTGGTATCTTGCTGCAGTGCCAAACACTTCTCCCCAAAAGGGTTGGATTACCCAAAGGGTCTGAGTACCTGCGCTTTGCAGAGACGATTTACCGAACTGTCCAACATGGAACTGGAGGGGGGCATGCGTTCTCGAAGCCCCTTCGTGACCCGGGGGTCACCTCGCGCCTCGGACGAGTTCGGATGACTTCGGCGGACTTCGACAGGCCGCGCGTTCCGGCCGGCGCCATGTCCAGGCGTCGCCTCTGGGCCTCGAAGGTTGAGCCTTCTGGTTCTGTTAGACAGAATCTAGGTTCCCCAGTAGTGCCCTTTTTTGGTTGGGAGGATTCCCCTACTAAAATAGACTACAGAAAAAAGGGCACCCTTACTGTAACCTCTCTACTGGAGGACCTAGGAACAAAGGGGTTTGATGTAAACTGCCATCAATAGCACAAACAGCACTTGTACTTGGTGGGTTTGTTTCTCTCCGGCAAGAGGATCCCGGTTGGACATTGCCAAGCGAAACCACAGTTTTTCTGCGGGTTTTCTCTACTCACTGCTTGGACATAGAGGTTTGGAGATGACAACCATATTTGGCCCCGCCCCCAAGTTGGAGGCTGGCAGACGTGCACTCCGTAACTGGTCTGAGTCCATGGTTCGTGGTCGACATGTGCAGTTTAGCCCATCACTTTGGGTGCGGGACATGGGGTGACGCAACTGGTCCCACAGGAACAGCACATTGCCAGTATTTTCTCTTTATGCATATGATATGCAAATAAACTTTATGTGTGTATATACATATATATATATATATATACATCTCTATATTAATATCTCTTAATATCTCAAATTGTATATTTTTTTTATTTATTTATTATATATATAAACATATGAGTTGGTGGGTTTCCCTTTTTTCAGCAACCCAAGGGTTCCCTCAAAAGACACCATGGAGAATCCATCGGTTCCGGGTCTTGGGACTCCCCAAATGGCGCGACGAACAGGTCCTCGTTGGTTGTCCTTTGAAGCCAACAGATGTGTTCCCCCTTCCCCCCCAAAAAAGAAAGAGGCAAAGAGAAGACACAGAGGGCTTGGGAATGATCAGAATGATCCCATGGATATGTCCAAGCACTAAAAGGTGAACACCCTCTGAGTCCTGAAAAGGTTAAGCCACGATGTTCGCCCTGCTTTCCCAACTTGAGAGCACCACTGCGAAACGGTTGGGAGTTGGGGTTGGGGTTGGGGGGGGGCGGTTTGAGCGCCGGGCCTGGCAAGCCGGGATCGATCCGAATTCCTGAAGCCCCTGTCCGGAGCTCTGGGAGGCATCTTCAGCGCTGTGTGTCTTTTGGAGAACTCCAACTGGGGCCAACAAATTTTTGAAACAACGCCACCGCGGGATGAAAAAAGGGATGGCCTTACGCAGGCTGGCATTTGCCAGGCCAGGCGGCTGGGCGGGCCTGGCATCGGGCGGTTTGTCCCTTTACGTGGGGTCCGCGTTTTGCGCCCCTCCGGGGAATATGGGTTTGCTGCAAAAACAGGGTGTAGAGGGCGCTCTTGGTTCTTTCAGTCACTTTTGTGATGCTGGAGTGAGCCCGCACCGGATATGTTTTATGCCCACACCAGCACCCACAGATAGCAAAATCTGAAGCATCCATGGCTCTCCGGCAGCCCTCGGTTTTGCCAGATTCCTTGATCAAGCATTCGGCGAGTTATCCTTCGTAGGCCCGTTCGTCCACTGGCAGGTTTTTTTCTTTCGGGTGGGGGGAGGGTTTTCCTTGAATTCAACGAACAAAACATGGGCGCGGGAAAGTTGGTTGTAGGCCTATCTTTTTGTGATACCAAGGGAATCCCCTCTTGGAGTGATAAAGTAGTCACATGGTTGGCCCACTCTGGCATGAATGACAATTTTTAACAGGCATGAACCAAAAAGTGTGTTTTTTGTTCCCCTTGAGAGTAAGTATACCTCCCCGCATTCCGCGCGTGCAAATTAGAAGGCGTCTGCCACAAGTGGATTTGAGTTTTGGTCTGAGCCGCAAAAACCAGGACCCCCAAAAGTTGGTTTCCCGTGGATTTCTTTTCCAAAATGGAAAGGAGGGAGCCCGCTGCTGGCGCGAGATGGTTGCACCCACACCAAGCAAAGAGGTCAGGATGTGTTTTGGAGCTTGGCGATGACCTTCTCGGTGACCTTTATAGCAACGTGGAGAAATCCGATCCGGTCTTGGATCGGGGGCACGACATTTGCTCTTGCCACCTGGTGAAGGCTCTCCATTGACACTGGCATTTAACGCAGCATTCGTGGTTGGCGGAGCCTTTTTCAAGAAACGCGACTTCCAATTGATCCGTTTCCTTGTGAATAGGGTCCCTCAAAGGATACATTTGGGCAAGCTAGACAATGCCATTTACGAGCTGATTTGGCAGGATTCTCTTGTGAAACGGCGGGCTTTGGATGTATCCTTTCAGGAACCCTGTTGAAGGGACTCGTGGACGTTGCAAAGGTAGCTCTACCCTGGCACGTGATGTAGGAATCAGGTGGGAGGTGTTTGATTCATGGTGTTGTGTGTTGATTTCTGTTCTTCATTTCCCCTGGGGCATCGTCATGACTTGAACCAGATCTCCTGTGCAGGATCAGCAGACTTCCCGTTTTTCCATGACTTGGCGCAGGCTGGAACTTGCCCTGGGCGATGCCGGCGCAACAGCGAGGCGCAACAGCAACACCCGTGGGAGGAATGGGGTATACCATTGCACTAGATGAAGAGTATGCGCTCAGCTGGCTGTGGGTCAAAACCAATGGTACCATGTTGGGGTAGGTGCACCACCCATTGTAGTCTATTTTAGTGGGGATTGGGATGTTCACTGGGGGTAGGGGATTTTGACCCATTGCCAGTTGTTCAAAGTCGATGTTTACCCTTGTTGGTCCACTTTTAGTAAAGGTCCCAAAAGGTTAACCTGTTGTTTCTGGGTCCTTTGGGTAGGTGAGTATGCGCTATTTCCTCGCGGTGCCCGGTAGAGGCCGAGTAGCTCTTTATTTAGGCACAGATGAAGCATGCATCACGGCACGTGGTGGAGCCCTTGGACAGATGCAACACAGCACGGAACATACCAAGATACATTTGTCAAGATGCAGGTAGGTCGGTCATGATGATCATGATGCCTTTCATGATATTCTTCATCGATCCTGTCTTCATACAAGTCCCTCATATATGGACGCGGTTCGGTCAAAGCTTCTGGTCTGCGCCCATGCTCTACTTGGGAGGACATGGGGGACAATCTCTAAGTTTCCCAACACACACCGGAGAACAAGAAAGCCATACTGCGGATGGACGAGATCCATTTCGCACCACCTGAGAAACATTGGAATGATTCGATTCCCCTGCAACAACCATCCTATAATGGTTTCACCCATGGTTTCAAAGTGGCGCGAAAATTGGATTTCGCAACCATCAGGGTCTTTGGTTCACCGCTCCGCTTCCAGCCGAAATCCGGGATTGGTCTCTCGCGGGAGGATCCAGCTCCAGCGGGAGGAGTCTCGGGGACCTCATGTTCTCGCAGGAGGACCCGCGCGGTTGGACATGGGATGCATCACTGGAAAGCTAAGGAGCCCCAAAAAAACCAAAAGGCTAAACTGGGGCTGGCCCTTCAAAAGGCTAAACTGGGGCTGGCCCACTTCGCAGGTGACTTTCTATGCTGGGAGCTTGGATCCCTTCGCAGGTGACTTTCTATGCTGGGAGCTTGGATCCGTACCCCGGCTCTTTGTGGCATCGATGGTCCGGCCAGAGTTTCGCGTGGGTTCGACGGCTTCTGAAAGCCAGAAGCCTCAGAATGCGATCTCACATCTTACGAAGCGCACTACGTCACTACGTGCAGAGCCCAAAGTCTGGTTTGTGTTTCGGACATGGAACCAGACCAATTCCTGTGGCGCTTGAAGCGTGCCAGGTAGCAGAGCCAAGTGAAACGGCCAGGGGTTCAGGTCTCGGCTTCTTTTTTTTTTTGGCATCCCAATGGGTGCGGCCGGACGTTCCGGTGCCCGTTTCAGGTGCCTGTTGCCCTGGGAAGGACTTGTTCCGGCCCTTCCTGTGCTTTTGGGGGGGCTTTAGTCAAATTCACTTGTGTGCTCCAAAGAGGGTGCCAACGCCACAAACAAGACACACCCAAAACAAGGGCCAGGAAAAGCTGAACATTTGCCACAGTTGGCTTCCAACCCCCAACCCCTTCAACGCCTCCCCCCACCCCAACATATCCCCCTGCCCTTTTGGGGCACGCACAGGCTTCGACCTTTCCGCCGCCGCGCGAGCAAAACAAAAACGCGGGCGGCTGGACGCGCGCGCGCGCGTTGTCGAGCGATTTTTTTTTCCGCGAGGACCTGAACCACTTCTCGGAGGCCCAGCTGGACGCCATGGGGAAGAGCGAGCTGGGGCAACACCTGGAGGAGTGGGGGGGAAGTCCGTGAAGTCTGGGGGGGAGGGGTGGGGTGGGGTGGGAAGTGGGGGGATGGGGTGGGAGAGGGAGTGGGAGGGGGTGGGAGGGGGTGGGTGGAATGCGCCTTTTTGTGTCCAAATGGGGGTCCTTTGTGGTTTGGGTAATGGATGGGTAGCCGGAACGTCTGCAAAAGGAAATGAAATCAAGATGAGGTTGTTTAAACAAGTGGTTTGAACATGTTGAAATTTTCGGGGTGCCGCAACCCTGTGTCAGCTTAGAGTTCCTTGGTCCGCTCAGACCTTTTAAGCAAAATCTCGATGCGAATTGAGGGTCACCTCCGAAATGAATGGGCTGTCCCTGTCTAAAACTACAACCCTTTTAACGTAACCCCTCAAATAAGACCCTCGCAGAATGGGGGGCTGCTAAAAATGAAGGAGGGGCTAGAGTTCCTGTGCCCTGCTTTCCTTTTGTTCAAGGGTTTCCAAAAAAAAAAATCCACCGCCAAAACAGGCGCCATGTTTCTCATGGTGGCTGAAAGTACAAGGGCCCCAGCCATGGGTGTGCTGTGAGTTGTATGCGGAGATGGATGACACTGGTGACGGTTTGAATCTCTTAGCCTACGGCTCAAACAATTCGGATGGAGTGGGCTACTTTAGAACAAGTTAAAATCATGACAGGAGCAAACCGAAGCCCTTTGCACATTGCCCTCCCTCATGCACACTGCAAGTCTAAATGGGGCCACCTGAAAGAGGGCTTTACCTTCAAAACCGCAGTCGTAAAATGAAGCGCCCCCAAAAAAGGGACCCGTCACAATCAATTCTGAGAGCGTCACCAAGCTCTCACCGACAGATGGGCGACCTCACAAAGGGCTTTGCTTTGCGACCGAAACCAAAATGAGGCGCGGTTTCCTTGTGACTTTCCCATACCAAACTGCTCAAACAAACAAAGGGGCTTTGAAGCTTCGTCTGTCCAAGAACTTCTGCTGTTGTTAGGGCTAGATGGAAGCCGGGATACTGCTTGGTATGGGGCACTCAGCCAGACCACAGCAAGGGCGTGAGAAGGTCGTCTCCGTCTTCAATTGACAAAGCCAAGCCCTCGTACGAGCGACAAATTGAGAAGCCTGAGCTCTCTGAGAAGCCGGCAGCCGGAACGACCAGAACCCGCCAAGTTTGGGAAGAGAGACACCCGGCTTCTCCGAACCAGGGGTGCTGCTTTCAAAAGAACGACACCCACGGAACCCCAAAAAGTTGCCTGTTGCCTGTTGACTCCTTGGGAAAAGCGCGAGGTCGCAAAGTCCAAGGCCCCTGAAATTTCCTCATGAGGGAACACCTATGGGTTTGAAGTATGAAGTGTTTCAGGATCGGATTTCGGTCGAAACCACCCCGTGGTTTCTTTCAGGTCCGGTACTTTGTTTTTCTCCCTGTGTTGTTCTCGCAGGAACTACTGCACTCCGCAGCCCGGCATTGGATGGCCCGATGGGGCGGATTGGGGGCGGATTGGCCAGGCCATCAGTTTCGCTCAGAACCTCCTGCGGGTTTCGTGGGGATAGTCCCAGGCCAAACCTTACGATCGGCCAAAAGGCTGTTCCTGATGTTAGTCCAATGCACAAAGCAGGATCAGTTTGTTGCCATGTGGGGCCTTGCACGCTGCAAAGTTGATACACATCACCGTGGTGAAAATTGCCTCGCTGCCCCCTTAGTTGACGCATGTTCCATGCAACCTTTTTGATTCAGTCCTTGTTGCTTCGTTTGGTTGGCTGTTGCAGGGGTTCGTAACCCCCCTCACCCTTCCAGGGAAGTTGCCAAATCTGGTCGCTGCCGATCTGCCAATCATGCTGCGTGCTTGAGTTTGCAAGCGCGGGTCTGTAAGAAAATAGTTGCAAGAGCAAGGAGAGGTCGTCGCCAAGTAGCCTATGTTCTACTTGGCAAGGAAGTCACGAGTGCATGGGACATTTTTCCAGCCCACCTTGGGAAGGCTGAACTTGACTCAAGCTGGAGATGTGTTTGGGTGGTGGTGGTGGCGGCAGCGGCGGTGGTGGTTTTGTGACAGCCTGTGGATATGAATCTTAAGTGGTTGGATCCGTTGGGCATGATTGGGTGTTTTTTGTGTGCTGGGGGTGGGATGTGCCAGTTTTCCGAGCCAAGGATTGGATCCAGCCGAAGCAAGTCTTCACTGCGGCCTATGAGATGGACGCAGGCACCTGAGGGGCTAACGACCTTCCCTTCCAACAGGTGGAACGGGACGTTTTCTGGTTTCCCCTTCCAAAAGGTGTGGGTGTAAGACCTCAGCGCTTTTTGATCCAGGTTTCCAGCCCTTGAAATTAATTGGAAAGCGACGGATGTCCGTCTCAATTGCGGTCGTGGACATAACCTGCCACCCTTGCGCGAAAAACGCTGGCAACACATCCCTGCTTGGGAATGTGTCAAAATCGTGGACCCTGTTAGGTGCTTGGGTTCCTCTCGGTTTCCGTTTGACATCACCCAAAAGGATTCGCCAGGTGGTTGCCTGTGGTGAAGGAGCTGAATTACCGGGTGTTCGAACGCACCAGCCCAATCTTGTCAAGTACTCTTGAACTTTGGTTTCCTTTGAAACCAGTCGATGCTTGGTGCAATTCATTGCGACTGCATGGTATCAGGCAACCATGAACTTGGGGTGGTCCAACCTGACTTACGTGCCTCGCAATTGGGCATTTCAGTAGAACATACTGTACATGGACGAAATCCATTTCGCACCACTTTGAAACCATGGGAAACCAGTGTTGGTTGGAGTTTGCAGGGGAATCATCATTCCAGGGTTTCTTAGGTCAGGATTTTGTCCATCCACAGTATGTTCTTGAATGTCAAGTTTCGTCTTTGTAATTAGAATCCATACCAAAAAACCGCCTGACGAGGCTGCTCTTCATATCCAGTGTCCGAGCGTTGGGACCTCTGCTGCACCCTTAATTCCTTGAGTTCAGGCTGCAGGAAGGGGACATTTAAGGGAAACCCAAGTGGGAAACAGAGGGAAAGTCAAAGGGATCAAAAGGGAATCAAAACCACAACCCAAAGCGGAAATGCAAAGGGACATCAGTGGAACACCCAAAGAGAAGCCCTAAGGGGAAGTCCACAGAGAGAAGAACCCGAAAGAAAAAAACAACAGACAGAACCAGCAAGGAGCACAAAGAAAAATCAAAAGAAACGGAAAGAACCAACAGGGAGCACAAACGAAAGGTGTGGCTTCCAGAGAAAGAAAGAGCAAGGACAGAACAGAGAAGAGAACAAGCAACTGTTTCATACTGGTTCTGGAAGTGCACTAGTTGCACCACAGATCCGAGATGCAAGTTCAGATGCACAAATTTGCAAAGATGCAGTAAAGATTCAGTAAGTACAAGAGTGCTCCCCTGCAACTTTTCTAGAAGATCCTGCCAGGATTTTGCAAGGATGCACGAATTGCTGGTGATGCTGGTAATGCAGCGAACTTGTCTACAAGCTCGGTGCTTGTTTGCACGTTTCAGCCAAGAACTTGCAAGGAGAACTGCACGTCGATGGTGCTAGAATGCTGCTTCGTGCAAGGGGGAACACTTCTGAAAAGAGCAGGAGGCCCATTCAAAGAGAGATTCTCGGGCAGATATGCAGCAAGAATACACCCTAGAATACCTCGTCTAGACTCTAGAATACCCCCCCCGTGCTACGTAAAGAAACCAAATCCCAAACGTAAAGTGTCGTACATTTATTTGGACGCAAACAGCGATGACGCAAAGCCATTTGGGATCCTCGAGAGGGAATTTCTGATTTGCGTGACATTTGCAGCCATTTTGAGTCATTTCAAGGGTCTTTCCAGCGATTTCTAAGCGTAAAGGGCTGCAATTCGTCGCCAGATCCGGCGAGTCAGCCAGCGAGCCAGCCAAGCTTTGACCTCAGACTGGACGGCTCCGTCCAGTGTTGCACCCTGGTTTTGAGAGTTCCCTTTTCAATCAACCAATCAAAGCCAGTGTTGTGGGTGCACAAAACCAGTGTTGTGGGAGGTTTTGTTTTGCGGGTTCCCTTTTCAATCAATGGACAAGGCCATTTTCCATGGCAACTGGGCATTCATGAACATGCTGGACTTGCCCAATGGGGGGGGGTCTCAGTGGCCTCTGGTGCCGCTTTGTAAAGATGCCACGAAGGGTCCCTAAGTTTGACAAAGCAGCACGTGGGTGTGTCTCGTAGTTTTACAGGGAATCCATCACTACTGGACATTGTTCAGATATTCTTTGAGGGGGCTTAAGCAAATGAAGGTGGGGGTGTGTCTTTTTAGGGGACCCGCAAATTTGGTGGTTGTCCTGTCGGGCAAAGAATGGAGCATCATCCCCTAGAGATATGGGCCTCCATTTCAGCTGTTTTTTGTTTGTTTGTTTGTTGGTTTATTATTATTGTTATCATTATTATTGTCCCGTAGTTTTACAAGCTCCAGAACAGCAAGAGATCTGGCGACAGTGGCCAAAGGCACTCCTTTGGAATAGAAAGGAGTAAGTTACCTTAAGGTTTCTGGTTTCATCAGGCATTCTCCGTCGGCTTCTTGAGCGCTAATTTACGAGGGGAAAGACTATTTCTTGCATGGCAGCAGCAACATGCTCCTGACTCAGTTTGGTTTCAACTGTACCCCAAACCCCATAGACATGTTGGCGTTTCTTTTTGAGGGTACCAAAACCATTTTTTTGTTGCGAGGGGGGCCCCTAAAAAAGCCATCCCCTTAGCTTTTTAGCCTTGTAGCGTTTAGTGGTAGTTTCCATTTAACTCACTAAAAGTTAAACTTTTAGCGGGGGATTTGCGGGCAGCCCAGTATTTTGGCCCTAGATGCAGCGCATTCCATGAAGATTTAGTGCGGTTCCGCTTAACTCGCGGAGGCGAGCTGCCCGCAGCACCGCCTCAAGGCATTGGGAACTCTGCCAAACGCTTCCCAGGTCAGCCAAACGGATCGCTTTGTTGTCTAGGTCCCCCCCGCTAGGTGCCCTTGTACTGTTTCTTTTTTGGGGGGAGGGTTCCCCAACTGGAATAGACTACAGAAACAAAGGGTACCAAATGATTCTATCCTCTCTACTGGAGGACCTAGTATTGTTCCCAAATGGCTGGGGGTACGGCATTTTGACCCATGGCCAAATGAGCCCGACAGCTGCAACGAGGTCAGCCAGCCATTCAGGGGTCCCTTTTGGTTTTGGTAGGTTGCCCAGCCCCGTGGCGTCCGTGGGGGTTTTCCCACATGGATTCAACCCGCCAAAGGGTTCCCTGCTTTGGCCAGCTGAACCGGGAAGGGCCAACGCAGCCAGTCTGGGGTCAAGTCTTTCTTGGGATGCACGGTCTTTCTCCAGGAAACCGCGCGTTCGGTGCGACCTCACATGAGAAATGTTGCCTTTTCGCATTGTTGCTGATTTTAGCAAACCGTGAAAACAAAGAGTGCCCCTGTTGCCACCACAGTCACCACAGACTCGGTTGTCCAGTATTGTACCCTTGTTTCCCGAGTTTGCTTTTAAACCGAACCGAAGAGGCCTTTTCGGTCATTGGTGAGCATGGTGGAAGCAACCACCAGGGAATACGGGAGCCATCGAGGAAAGACCCGGACATGCCCCAATTTGGGGTTCTCAATGGCCTCTTTTGGGTTTCTGGTGCCGCCTCTTGAAGATGCCAAACAGCCACATCCTTCCCAGACATCCTTTCGCATGCCCAGCCATCTCAGGCCAAACACTGTTGCCACGCGGCGCCACGCGGTTCTGATGAGCACACAAGGGGATTGCTGCAGCTTGGGGCCTGCCTCTCAATGCATGCCGCCAAACCTTAATATAGGGGGTGCCTTTTTCCCGAGGACTCGGGCAAAACTGTTTTTTTCCTTTTGGTCCTCCTTTAAAACCACAAAAAAGGAGGGGTACCCTCAAAAAACGACACACCCATATGGGTCTTCCCACCGCCGGCGAGGCAACGTGGAGCTGCCAGGCTGGAAAAGCAGGGTGCAGATTGATGGATCGTCATCGATCCATGATATGGAAACCCATGTCAGCTCGGAAGGGGAACCAGGGACCCTCCCCGAAAAACCCACTCGACGGAGTTCCGTGTGCAAGTCCCAGCTTGTTGCTTGTGGGCAAGGCCTGCTGCGTGGGCCCTCCAATTGGCCTCACCCCCCGTTGTTCTTTGAAGGAACCAACCCAACAAGCCATTTGCATGGGTTGGTGGAAGCGCCTGCAGACAAAAGCAGATTGTCAAGCCGCGAGAAGCCAACCAGATATAGCGGAGTTCCCCGTATTCCAGAAAAGGTGGCCACACCAGTGCTCGCAGTATCACAGGTTATTTCCTTTCACAGATTCAATGTCTTGACGCGTCTCGCCGTGCGACTTGTTGATTTTTGCCTGATTTGGTTGCTTCATCTGCGGCCCCAAGCCGCTCCGGCTAAGAAGACTTGCCAGCTCGCGGCAACCAAAGGGCTTGCCGATGCGGGCGTTGGCCCAGCTACAAGAAGCCTGTTACCTCCTGCAAATCTTGAGCTCACCTTGGGGCAAAATGAACATTGCAGCTTACGAAAGACCTATACAGACTCCTTGTTTCCTGGCTAAACTTTGTGCCGACTCCATCCCGCGGCACTCCGCGTTTTGCAGGTGATGTCTTCGGAGGTGCGGGGGGATGGGAGGGACACTTTAAGTGGTGCTGTTGGTCCAAAGAAAAGCCGGGGCCTATGATTGGTTCCAGTGTTGCTTGGAATTGACGCCTTGGCTCAACATGGGACCCATGCTTGTTGAAGTGATAGCTTCACCCCCTTAGCCTTCAAAAGGTGCTTTAGATGACATCCGAAAGGTTTGACGTTCCACCAGCATGACACAGATCATTTGCGAAGAGCCCTAGTTTTGGTGCGCACAAAAAGAAAAAGACATCAATTTGATAGTTCAAACAACTGGGCTTCAACCACCTCACACCCTTCAAACATATGACTGGGTGTTCCTTACCTGTTAAGGTGTTGATGAAGGGCGCCAGACTCAGGGTTGTTCAAGCAGGTGCCCTTTTTCTGGACCCTTCTGTGACCCCAGTAAAGAGTGGTCCTCAAGTTCGGGACACTTTTATCTTGGACACCTTATTTGGCCCATGGTCATGATTCTCTAACCAGGAACCCCAACATTGGCTGTCTGACATCCTTGTCAAGAGGGTTGATGACGGACGGTACCAACCCCGAGTGGCTATGAATGAACCAACCTCAAGTGGCTATGTTTTTTTGGGGTCTTTTTCCTTTGTTTTAAGGGAATAGTCCTTTAAATGGCTAGTGGACATAAACATCCCGCGTGTAAATGAGAAATCGCCGAAGGGTTCCACCAAGGAACATTTCCTAGGTCCCCCAGTAGTGCCCGTTTACCCTTTTTGGGGGAGCACCAACTTCTTCTAACCTCCAAAACTGGAGGACCTCAATAGAGACCACCAAAGAAACTCCCACCAATGAACATTTTTCCATCCCCCTTTGGGGGTGTTTTGACCAAGGGGGCCACCTGTCCCCCCCGCTCTCGGCGCAGGCGTCGAACCCGTGGAGCCGGAGGAGAACGACTCGCCCGGGTCCCGTGGTGGCCTTCGGATTGGTTTCATCGGCGAGCGGACAAAAAAACGCCCCAGGAGGTTTTTATCATCCGGTTCCTTAGCTTAGTTGTTTTTTGAATCTTTCTTATTTTTTTGTTTCTCCGAATCTTTTTAGTGTTTAGGGGTAGGTGTTCATTTCACCCACCAAAGGTTAAGAGCTTTTAGCTGGGGGATCTGAGAGCAGCAAAGGATCCTGTGCAGTTCATGCCCATTTTTTGGGGTACCCACCGAATTTTGAGGTCCGAAGTCCAAAGGATCCCCTTCAAACGCGAAGCTCGGGCTTCTTTGCAACCGAAAACCCGGTTTTCCGATAAATCATTGAACATCCAAGGGGCTTCGGAGCTGGCATAGATCCAGTGCCTTGCTAGAGGTGCCTCAAAGTCAGAGGTACCAGCAGCACCAGCTGTACGCTGCGGCCCTCATTGCAATGTTCTTGACATGCCATGAGGCACTAGTAGTGCTTCAAGCAGTGGCAAACATTGAATTTGAAGTGCTTGCGCTTTGGAGGAAAAGTCATACCGCATCGGTGCAGTGAAACCATTTGGTTTCCCTTCCCCCCCATCTTTTGGTGTTGTTTGTGCCCTAGCCGCATTTGAATCCACATGTGGAATGCATGTATGGCCAACTAGTTGCAACTCCTGGATGGTCGTGTTCCAGGCCTGCTTTGCGCCTCTTGAGTTCAGATTAACACCAAGTGAGCCCCGCTTGGTCTCCATGTTGGCTTCCCAAGGGGTTGTTTTTGGAGCCCAACATGAAAAAGCAAACAACTCCTTGGAACCGAAATTCAACCAACTCCTTGGAGCCCAACCCAGCGACGTGTTTCCCCCACGCCTAGGGCGCGCGCGCGCGCGCGCCGCTTAAAGCGGCGTGTCAGGTCCTCCGAAAGCGAGGAGCCCGCCCCCATGGAGTTGGAGAAGGCGCGAAAGGGAAAGACCCGAGCTCCAGGTGGGGGGTGTTTCGTTTTGAGGGTACTGTTTTGGGGTTGATTCCCCAGTAAGTCTATTTGGGGGGTCATTTCTCACTAGGGGTACCTTCTATTTCCATTCTTTCCAGGGATCCGAATCTTTCTAGAAAACCTCCGGAAATCCAGGGACAACGGAAATCCGGCTTTTGGAAAGAATGATGGTCGAAAAGAATGGAGAATCAACCCGTAGAAAGGGACATCGAGGCTGGGTTTCCCCTTTTCTTATCTTGAGGGACCCGTTTGTGTTGGGCTATTTTAGGTGGAAAGCAGCCTGAAAGCCTCATTCTCGGACCATCTCGGACCGTTTTTTGGGCTAGACTAGCGACATGAAAGCCTCATTCTCGGGCCTGTTGTTGTGTTATATTAGGTGGACACCAACATGAAGGCCTCATTCTGGGACTGTTTAGGTGGAGACCAACATGAAAGCCTCATTCTGTGACCGTTTTTGTATTTTAGGTGGACAGCAACATGAACGCCTCATTCTGGGCCTGGTTTTTTGGGTTATGAAAGCTTCATTCTGGGTCGGTTTGTTTGGTTATTTTAGGCGACCAACCTGGAAGCACTTCACTCATGGCCATCCACCATTTTTTGAGACAAACCCATGTAGGTGTTTCTTCCAAGTTGGGGGGCGAGGCACCATGGCTGGCCTGGATTTATCCCCATTTCTTGGTGGTTCCCAGCCATCCCTGGGGATTTCCATTTAACCCGCTAAAAAGTCAAACTTTTAGCGGGGGATCTGAGGACAGCCCAGATTTGAAAGGGTTCCGTTCAGAAACTGGCCGCACACCTAGTGAAAATGGCTGGTCTCTGAAAAGAACGCTGGGAAAGCAGAACTAGGACTCAACTCTTAAAATAGCGTTCTGCTTTGCTTTCCGGTTTTAGACACACTTGCGTTTTTCTATCAGTTTTTGGCCGGCTTTAGCTCAGTGTGCGTGGTGTCTGTGAGCTTTGTCGCGTTTGCTGCGCAGTGCCGATAAGGGAAGCGGTTGGTTGCATCCATCATATCATTCCTCTCTCCCATCCATTATGAGCTGATATGAAATGGTGAACGGAATCGATGGGAGAGATAGCTAAGAGTCAATTTCTAGCATTTCCTAAATATAATAAACCCCAAAATGAAAAGCGAGAGGTAGGACCAAGAGCAGATATGTGGTCATATGGTTTTAAATTATGTTCATCATCCTCCATTCTGTATTTCTACAATCATTGTTTTTGAGATTAATAATTAGAATATATCATTTATTCTTGTCTCTTCTCCAAGCATATTAAAATTATTAACCATCCTGGAATTATCTGGTGTCTTAACGGATTTTTCCTTTAGCATCATGTCACTTTCTATCTTCTGGAATGGATTTGTGTTGACCGGAAGGCTTCGTTCGTTCACCATCTTCACCTCTTGTCCAGTTATGTTCTCACTCCCTTAAAAACTAGGGCCTTGACCCGAGCTTTCAACGGACGAGATCTTCGTGGAGAGCAAGCAGTAGATCTTCCTGAGCTTGCAAGACTCGCAGCAGGCGCAGCAGTTGGCTTCACAGCTGCGGTGACCAAAGAAGACCCGCTGCTGCGGAGGCTTCGCCGCAGTGGCCGACACGTTATGCCCATTGTCGAGCGAGCAACTGAGCGCAACAGCGAGGGGCACGCCTTGTGGTTGACGAGCAGCCGCAATCGTTTCATTTCTGGTTTGTTGGGGGTTTAGTGTTGAAAACCCAAGTTGATTTCAACCAAAAGTTTCAATTCTAAAGATCCGTTACCCAATAGCAGAGAATTGTTTGAGACTAAAACCCGGCCTGGGGGCCCATCGGACCCCAAGGCTGATTCCGCTCAAAGTGTTTTTTTTCTTTTTTTCTGGATCCCGCTTGGCCTGAGGTCATTTGAGGTCATTCTCTGTGGGGATCTGGAGAAAATGCAAGAGGATTCCACCACACTTTAGCCCTCTTTTGGCCTTTTTCCAGGTTGACCCAATCCATTTGGCACAAGATTTAAGTCTAGGAGGGAGCCGGCTCCCCTTGCTTTGTTTATCGCGATGGCTAGTGTTGCTGTTGCAGAACGAGTGCGTTTTGTTAGAACAGGTTGTAACTGAATGAAATCTTGACCCTTCCTTTTCGCGGAAAGTTTCTGAACCGACCTTGTGCGCGAGTTCCATGCGGTTCTTTCCAGGAGACGGTCCAGGAGAATGGCCAAGAGAGTCACGAGGATGGGGCCGCAGATGCTGACATCCATGTGCATCTTTGAGGAAGCAGGCAGCTCACAACATGCAAGTGAGAAAGGCACTACTTTGCCCAAGTCTATGATGCCTTTCGCTCCTTTCCCTTGAAATGAATGAACAGTTAGTCCTGAAGGCTTTTCTTTGGCACAGAAGTGTCAAGGCACTTCCCACAACCTTAGTCAATGAAGGGGCAGCCCCTTTAGTTTTGCGTGTGCTTGAGGAGCAACACATGTTTTTTTTCAAATGAGCTTCCAATCAAGGGAAAGGAAAGGGACTAGGGGTGGATCCCGCTAGACTATTGCATGATTCTCTCCGCCAGGCGACTTTTCCAAACCAAAGACCGGTTCCAGAGTTTGCTTCGAAGCCACGCAATCCGATGTTCAGGGAGCATCAAGCCATTGGTGATTTCTGCTGCAATGTATTCCTTTTAAGGGGGATACCTCATTTGAAACAGAGCCTGGGTGGCAACCGAATTCAATTGATTGCGGGTTGGTGATTGTGGGTTGGGGAAGTTGATTGTTTCCAGGTTGCTTGGTTTCAGAACAAGCCATGGAGCCCCAAAATGGTCAGTATCCCTTTGGCATCCCTTTAAAACTAAGCAAAAGAGCTCCCAGAAAAAGAGAATGCAAAAATGCATATGAGCCGTCACCCTACTGGACATGGGACAATTAGAGTCCCCCGGGTCCCAATACATGTTGCGTGTGTTTGTCACCGTGCCGCTGGTGACATTTAGAATGCATCGTAGCTCTCAGTCTCAGTCTCGTGTTTGTAGCCATGGTCCCACGGGTGTACTTAAGCAGAAATACCTGAGACCATCCAAATCTGTTGGGGAAGACGCAGCTTTGTAGCGGACAGTCCCCGTACATGCTGTCGTCCTTTTGATTCGTTACCACAGGTGAGGGTAGACCCCTCTAGACCCCTTTGATACCGTGTTTTATGCCCTAACAAGGGACTCTTCCCTTTCAGAAGAAAAATCAAAGGCACCCCACCAAAGGGGCTTGATGGCAGCTCACCTTACAACCATGGCCAGTGGCAGCGCGGTGGACCGAAAGGTCGGATCGATGCGAAGCTTTTGGCCAGCGGTCGTTGTTGTCCACAGATAAATTGAACATACGCCCCAGGACACTGTGGATGGTTGCGAAATCCAGAAATCGCACCACCCAAGAAACCCTATGAGGATTCCTCTGTAAATACCAACAAGCAATGGTTTCAACCATGGTTTCAAAGTGGTGCAGGATTTCGTCCATCCACACTATGGCGCGGCACCCTCTTCTTTAAGAAAGGCACACAGACCTGGCTGGATGACTTGGCAGATGGGGCAATCCAGGTGTCCCTTGATTTCGTCTTGTGGTGATAAACATCACCTGTTGGACGTCAATTTCAAGTGAGCTTCCTTTGTGGTAGGGTGATGTTTCCTGGTTGGACACGTGAGCCCAATCAGCTGCCTGGGCTCTTTGCTCTTTTTTCCTTCTCATTGAAATGGAACCCAGAAGGTCGCAGGAGGAACATTTGGTCAAGAGGCAGCTTCAGGGTAAGGCTTTGGTGAAAAGAGTGAGGCCAGCGGTCCTTGATTCACCTTTTCCCTCCTTGGAGATTCCCCGATTTTCAACAAGAAAGGGGTCCCTGGAATGAATTTGAATCAGGTGGTTCCAACTCCATTTCACTGGCCTGTCTCCCCTTTTTGAGGTGGTTCCAACTAGACGTCTCGCGAGGAGCCGGCTCCGGAGCCAGTCCCGGAGGAGCCCGGCTCAGGCTCGTTTTTTCCGGGTGCTGAGTGGCAACCAAAAGGAGACCAAAAGGAAACCAACAGGAAATCATGTTTGTTTTTGCCAAAAGGGGGGCAAACATGGCACGCTTTGTAACTCTTCAAAACGGGTTGAAAGGATAGAACTGGACAGGAGCCTTTTGGTGCACCAAACCTCTCGAGTGGAAGGGTGCCAAAGAGGCGTTGAAACGGTCTCGCCAACCAAAGCGAATCAACTTTCAACCTTTTGCTTTTGTTGGTTTGGTCTACATGTGTGCAATTTTAGGGTCCGATTCCTTTGGGATAATTCCCGTATTAGGCCTTGGGTTCAAAGGTTAACCCACTGGGAAAGTGATCAGACACCTTCTTGATTCCCAGCAGAATTCGGATTGGCCGACCCTCCGAATCGCCATATTTGCCCATGCCAGGACAGTCATTAGATTTGCATGAGGCTGGGAGAATTGTGAATCGGCCATATGTGCCCATGCCCTGACACTCGTTGGATTTGAGGCCGGGAGGTAAATCCCAGCCGGAAACCTTTCCAGGCCCGTTTTCACTTGGGGTCCCAACCATTCCCCCTTCTGGGTTCATCCTGTACCTTTGGTTGCCAGGTTGGATTGAGTTTCCTGTCAAGTGGCGTTGGGACAAATCTCAAGCGTTCCCCAAGATCGAAGACTCTATTTACACCAAGTGTACCTTGAATTTCCCAAAGTCCATCCAAGAAAGCGTTCCCCTTCGCGCCTCAATCGGACGGCCCGCGTGTCCGATTTGCCGCGCCGCGAAATGAATACGTAGGTAAGTGAAGGTTTCTCGGGGGGGGCAGCAACCAAGAGATGCGCACAGCTGTTCTCCCTTGTGATTCTTACACAGGGTTTCGGGTAGACTCCGCTACCAGGTTGCATTAACCCAGTGTCCTAAATTGGGAACCCGATTTGTCAAGCAAGAAAAAAAGGAAACCACCACACAAAGGAGGGTTTTGTTTATGACTGCCATAGGCCTGCTCGTTTGCCCCTTCGCTCCAAATTTGTGGTTTACCCTTACGGGTATGGTCCAATTTGGATACCCGCACGCAAGTGCACAGGACCCTTTTCCAAAAGGGATCATTCCATGTTGCTGGCTGGGATCTCTTTTGACGATGTTTTACATGCCAACGGTTGACTACGTATGCACCTTAGCGCGGCGGGAACGCGGCGATTTGTGCGATTGCGATTTGCGATTTCTGCGAGCCCAAGGTGAATCGCAGCGATTTGGGGAATAGTAGTTAGTTTCAGGGGATATGTGCTAACCAATGTCTGCAATAGTTGCAGGCCGAAGCAGCGATTCAGAGGGTGACTGGGAATCCAGGAAGATCCTTCAGACGCAAAAGCTTGTGGCTTCAGATATCACTTTTGGCCCTTTCCCGTGCAGAGAAAGCAAGGCAATGTCAAAACCAATGCTTTCTGCGTCCCCTAAGCAGCGATTCAAAGCTAGCGATTTGAAATCGCTGCGTTTGCGATTCCCTGCTTTGAACCCACAGCGATTTGAAAACGCAGTGATTTGCGATTGCGAGTTTGCCTCGCTAAGGTATGCACCAGAATCAAGGATCGGTTTTTTGATTTGGGGGCAAACGCAGAGGTAGGCTTGTTGGTCGGAGGGTACCATTTAATTCCAGCCCGGACCTCCAGCAAATCTCCTTTCTCCCTTTAGTTCGGTGTATTTCCTTTCAACCCGAAACAAGAAGTTTGTGGGGCGCCATTGTTGGGGGTCGGAACAAAAACCCAATGTTTTAGGGGTACCTTCCCGGCATCATTCTTTCTAAACAAAACTTTGAGTCCTAGAAATGTGCAACACTCCCCTGAGTTTTGATGCCCAGCGGCGCCTCCGCGCCTGCGCGCCTCCGGCGCGAGCGCGAGGCCGGCGCCAGCAGCTGCTGCTGTCGCCCAGCTGGCGCCTTGGGGCGCTGGCGGCCATGGAGCTGAAGCGCCGGAAGCAGCTGGAGCAAGCGGAGGCCGAAGCCCCAGCGTCGGGCCGTCGCTTTGGGGATGGGGGGGGTTTGGGGAGTGGGTTTGGGGTGTGGGTGGGGAGTGGGGGGTTGGGATGGGGGGATGGTGGGGGATGGGGGTGGGGGTGTTTTGGTTGTTGGTGGGAAAAAGGGGCAACAAAACCGGGAATGGGGTTGGGCTGGATTTTATAGAAGGAAAAGAAGACCCAATGGGTTTTGGATATATATATATATATATATATATGTAGAAATTAGCAAACAAAGCCAGGACCCCCCCCCCCTCCACAGTCAGATTCCGCCAGGGGAGGGGTAGTTTGTGCCGCATCCTGGGTGCCATTTGATGTGAAAACTGCTTTACATTTTTGGCTTGGTTGGATCTTTGATTCGATTCTTTGGTTCCCCTCAAGGGGTATACCGTAATGTCTAGCGCATTGGGGTGGGCTTTGTCTCATGACGGAAGTCCCCATCATTCGGGATACGATGGCGGTTTCCTTAGTTGAAGGATATGGACATTATGTTGATTTCCCCAAAAGTGGGATTGGCTCCCATGTTTCTCTGCTCTCTGGGTCTTTGCCTTAATGCAAGCAACATACGGGTCACTTTTCTGCCAGGGTTCAACTTTTGGCTAGGGTACGGCAGGGGGAATAGCCACCAAGTTTTCTTGGCCCCAAGTCGTTGCTTTTTGAGGGTGAGGTGGAGATCCCAAAATTCGGTTTCGATCCCACAGCATGAAAGTGCTTGGCTTTCCCAGTCGCAGATTTGTCCAGGTTGATGTCAAAAGGGGTTGGAACGTCTGTCTTCGTACACCTGGGATAAGCCAAGAATGGAACCCTGAGTGGGACGCCTTCGAACCCGTTTTGGCCAAGCTTTTGCCATGAGACCCAGCAAGTGGGCCAGGAACGTTGATGAATTCCATTGGCTTCAGCCTTCAAATCATTTCCACCTTCCAAGGTAAGACGCAACATTTGAGGCCAAAGGGCCAGCGACGTCCAGACTGTCCTCTGCCCCTCTTGAGTTTGGTTCCTCATGTCGAGTTCATCGGTTTTTTCAAAACACCTAGGATACCAACACAAACAGGGTACCGAGCTTGAAAAAGGGCACACCCATGTGGAGATTGGAACCCGTGCTGTGGTCGCAAATTTCTGCAACCTCGGATGTTCCAGATGGCCAAGAGCTCGGTTTGGGGAGCTCCCATTTGGTTGTTTTGTTTTCGGGAACCCCCCTTTCGGTTGGTTGTTTAACGGGAACCAAGAGAAAACCCAATTTTTCCGGGGTCCCGATTGTTGGAAATAAACCCATTTGGAGTCAAGGTCACACATACTTAACTCGTTCTTAAGGTGGGAGAGTCCCTTGCCACTCATAACAGGCGGGCGGTTCTTTTGAGAAGACAACCCTCCCCCCACTTAGATTGAAATCCCACGTTGAAATACACATGCTTGAAGCCAGCTTTAAATTCCGGCACCGGCACCGGCACCGGCATCGGTCACCATGTAATTTTACGTGTACATGTGTGATGATTCCAGTTTTAATCCATGTTGAAGCCAGTTTGTTTTAATGTTGAAGCCAGATCCCATCTCAAATCCCATGTTTGAAGCCAGTTTCAAGGAATCGCTTTTGAATGGTAGGGGATGAGTAAATAAACGTATGTTCAATTGAAATCCCATGTTTTAGTTTGCCATGTAACGTTAGTTGTTTACAATGGGTTTGTTCTCGGGGATCCGAGCCCAGGATGGAGCCCAGGTGGGCGTTCTGCTGGGGCAGATCCGCTACTCCCAGGCCGAGCCGGGGATTCGCTCGGACGACCCGGAAAAACCGCCGGCTTTTTGCGAGGTGGTGCCCTTTTTTTCGTGGTTTCAAAGGAAAACCCAAAGGAAAACCACCACTTTGGGGGTACCCTAAAAAAACTCCCAGTTGAGTGTGGTGTCTTTTGAGTTGGTACCCTTTTTGAGTGATTTTCGAAGGAAACCACAAGGAAGCCACCCATTTTGTTGTTGCCCTATTTTGAGACAAACCCGTTTCAGGTGCAACTGGGGTCTCTTTTGAATTTAATGCACCAGGGTTCCCCACATTTCCCTTCTGGAGTTTTAAACATCACCAGTTTGCTCAATTCGCCCGAATACGTCAGGTCCTTTTCCCTCTTGGGCAGTGTTCAGGTGAATCTCCGCATGGGTAGGGCTGATGCTTGAAGGGGAACTATAGAGAATCCTTGAACATTCAATTGGAAGGAATCTCCTTTGAAATAAATTGATGGGGTCAAACCATTACACACCTTATTCCCTTACAATCATAGCTTGACTTGGTTTTAAAGCAGCCCACCCCTTGTAGCATGTTGCAGTACAAGGTCTACTCCTTTCGGGGGGGGGGGGTGAACCAGCTGATATCTCCAGCGTTAGCTTTGGTTCCTCGGGGATCTGGTTGGACCAGACCATTGCCCGATGCCATCTTGACTCTTTGGACAGTGTAGGAACATGGAGGGCTGTGCCGGGATGGATTGCAAATAGCGGGAAGGGCGAGGTCCAATTCGAATGTTCATGTCCAAGCCCCTGAACCAGAACAGGGATGCGAACTCATAGGCTGAATAATGCTCTGATGGCTCTGCCTCAGTTTCTGAGCCGGGATGAGGGGTAGTCTGATTTTTTGAGGGAACCGTAGTGTCACCTGATTTCCCTTTACCAATCAAATATGGGAATGGGTTCTCAAATATATTGTTATACACACATATGCTGTAAGATATATATATACATTATCTACTGGCCTGCATGAAAGTATATACATGTACAATATATGTATAAATGTACAACACGTGGGGTCGTGGTTTCGCGAGGACTCCATCCGGGGCACCTTCCGAGACAACCGCATGCTCAAGCAGATGCGGCTGGAGCTGAGCTCAGGCGGATCTCAGGGGGAGTCGCATGGCTGTGGGTCAAAACCAATGGTACAACTTGGGGTAGGTGCACCACCCATCTTAGTCTATTTTAGTGGGGATCGGGATGTTCACTGGGGGCACGGGATTTTGACCCACAGACACATCTTTTTTATATCATCAGAGCAAACTCCCATGGGTGCGTGTCTCATAGTGGCAAGCACCCCAGGACGCTCCTGCAGATTATGGAGCCTGACATCTATTTGTCAATTGGCAATAACGTATGCACTGGAAGGCCTCCCTTTGGTGGGAAGCCCTTTTTGGCTTCCATGTGAAGCGGGGGAGTACTCCGCATAGGTTTGCCAATCTTGTGGTTCGGAGTGCCTGAGGTCTGGAAACCTCCTTTTGCCTCTTGAGATCCCCTTGGGGCTGGACATCACCTACCATGAGGAAGCGAGCCAGGGTAGTCCATTCAAGTCTTTCACCAAACCAATGTGAAAGGACACCAGCCCGCCAGACCTCCAGTGACCATGCGAACCGAAGGCCGTTGTGTTCGGTTGTTGATTTCAAAAACGAAAGCTCCCGGGAAAAAACAACTCACCAACGCACAAACGCACAAACGCACCCACCCACCCACCCACCCAGCCAGCCAGCCAGCCAGCCAGCCAGCCAGCAAGCAAGCAAGCAAGCAAGCAAGCCAGCCAGCCAGCCAGCCAGCCAGCCAGCCAGCCAGCCAGCCAGCCAGCCAGCCAGCCAACCAACCAACCAACCAACCAACCAAACAACCGATGTGAACCAGACATACGAAAAACGCGCGCTGCACGAGCAAGTGGCAACATCGAGGCAACTTGGAGTCTCCATGACCCTTGAAAGATGGGGCAATGTACCCACCATTTTGTGGTAGTAATGACCCATATTCATGAATCTCCTGGTTGGTTCCATACCTGGATGACACCTGCTTTTGCCAGAGAGGAAACCCGATCCTCCCGCCAACATTCCCATGGAACTGTCATGATACTTAGTCACGCAATTGTATGCTGGAAGATACATGTGGAAACCAGAAGCTGGCTGCACTCCCCAACTGGTTTGTAAATCTGTTGCTTTAGTTTGTGTTACACCAAGCCGTCGAGCCTTGCCTTCGGACGCAAGTAAGTTTCAAGACTTCTCTGGGGATGGAATTTTCATTCCTTCCAGCCAGTTGTGTTCCAAGGGTTTTGCGCTGGTTTCCGGAAGAAGGATCCTGGAACGAAGGGAGGAGTTACCCCCAGAATTTCAACTGAAAGTTGAGCTGACGGGGGGTGTCTCAATTTTTTGTTGGCAGACCCCAAGAGTGGTTAGTTTCCAAAACAGGACACACTCACCGCGCAGGCAGCAAGAGCGTAGGGCAGATCCCCATGCTGAGGGCTGTGTACCGCTGCTCGAGCGCACCTGGGGGGGGGGGGGGGAGGGGAGGGGGAGGGGGAAGGGGGACGGCGTTGAGTCTGTGAATTCCTGGGGCGAATTTTGCGAGCGCGCCGTATTCGGGGGTAAAGACAAGCGAGCGAACTCCAAATAGATTCCTTCCAACTTCTTTTGGCCTCTTGCTGTTACCAAAATCATCATCCTTCAACCTCTGACCGACTCTGACCTCCAGTGGTGGTGTTTTTGCTCTATGGAGTTGGCGTCCCTTGACCTATTTGAAAAGGTTTTCTTTCCTGCCTGTCCACTGAGGCTGGGCATATACAGTAACTTGTTGGGGTTTCCTCATGAACCAGCAACATGTCAAATCATTTCACTGGCGTCATTACAGACCATGCTCATGTGGGAACAACATGTCAAACTTCTTGCATGGGGTTAACAACCACCCAAGCACCGAAGCTATGCTTAGCAATCCTGGGGTGCGGGTGGGCCGAAACAGCTCAGGACATTTGTTTTCCAAACCATCATCATGTTTTTTACAAAGTTTAGGAGGTGCCTCAGCAGGCCTGTTTTGGGCAATCTGGGCTTGTTTCCGCCCTGTCAGCGTCGATAATTGGTACCTATTGCTTGCTTGCTTCTTTTCCCGCCTCGCTCAAGTTGGGGGGGCCTGACAGTCAATCGACGCACAGAACAAAGTGGCCTTTCTTTCGAAGAAAAGTGGCCAATGGGCAAAGAACGCCCTGCCTGGCACTCGCCCTGACAATGGAATTGAGAGAACGGGGGTTTTCGACTTTATGGGGAATCCTGAAAACATTGGAATTGGGGGCCCACGGGCCCGTGCCGCTGATATTGAGCGCATGTTGCAGCCATTAGAAGCCAAACACTATCATGCCATGCAATACCCCAACAGTTGCAACATGTACCCCCAAGTGTCCATCCTCCGGCGTATGCCGCGGATCTATATACCGAAGTTTACCGTGGTCTTGCGATCTTACTTGCAATGGGGCATCCACCGTAGCCCCCCCGTTTCCAACCCCCCACTTAGGTGATGGCTTGATTTACAGCGCGGACAACCGCCGGCTCTGGGCCTTCAAGCACAGCATGAACTCCAACACCCGCGCCCTGCCAAGAACGGAGCGCCAGGCATCAAACCCTCAGCATATCCAAGTTTCCTTCCGGAGGTAGTGCCTGGGGGGATCTTGGAAATCCTCTTAGACCTTGTTGTAGTATTTTGATCCTAGGGATGATGCCCCATGTAGTTTATCTTGTTTGTGTGTCTAGCTCTGTTTCTTTGGGTTGAGGGTCGCTTTAGGGTTTTCAAGTTGGGCGTAGGGGTTTGGTTCGGGCCTGGTGTTGCGTTGTCGGTTTATGTTTTTGGGGTTTAGGGTTTAGTATGCAGGTTCTCCAGCATAGCTTGGCGTTGCGTGAAGAAAGCACCAGCTCGAGCGCAAAGAAGAGCAAATACCTCTCAACTTCAAGAAGCCGCACGCAAAAAACAAGTCGTCCCTTCCCAAAAATGCGGAGGCTGTTTTGAAGGTCCGACAAGGTACCTCTGTTTGTTTGGCCCGCTCCAAAAGAAGGGTGGTGTATTTCTTGAGAGCCAAAAGGTGGTCTTTAGGAACGCCAGGAACTCAGGAGGAATCCAGCATCTTTTGACCCTAGTCAAAGGACCCAGCGGAAACGTCCGTTTCGCAGTTTGAGATGGGGGTCAATATGGGTTTCTCTCAAAGGGAATCCCCAATTTAGGATGAGCCCATGTTTTGGCTGTCCAATGCAGGCAGTAAACATGCTTGGGGGTTTTGCCCCTGCATGCCAATCAGAGCCATGCTCACTGGGCAGCTTGATCTGAGGCATACCGGTGATCAAGAAGAGGACGGCGTCACACCCGCAGAGAAGGCATTCATTCTAGTCGGCAAGAAAACCGGGGTTTGCGACCTCACTCATGCCTGAGGATCCACGTTTCGCCGATTTCATGACCCACGCCAGTCTGCACCATGTGTGGTCAACGCACTCATTGACTTGGGCTAGATAAAGTCATCAACCTCTGAACAGGGTTTAAGACAAATGTAAAGGTTTCACCGGGGTCATGCCCCACCAGTTAACCGCGGAGCTTAAGCCCGGGCCCTGGGCTAAGCTTCATTTGCACCCGGCCCGCCGAGAAACCGAAACAGCTCTGGGCTTGGAACAGGGTTCCCAGAAACTGAGGTTTCGCATTTCGCCGAAAGGTGTCTGGGAATCGGGGCTGGAAGCTATGAACGGAAGCGCCCTTACGGCATTAGATTGTAAGAGCAGGCCAACTGCTAGGGAAATGGCGCGAGCCACGCTCCAAAGCCACGCCTATCGATCGGCCTGGCCAAGGAATCCAATACTGTGGGGCCATAGCAAGGGGAGCCATGGGAAGTTGGCCCGAGAAGTGGCGCGAGTCACGAGCTACGCGCCAATGGCTTTATTTCCAAGAGGGGCTTGCAAGAGGGGCTGCATCACCCCCCAAGTTTCACCGGACGATGGGGTTTTACGGTATACAACAGCTAGAATAAGCACTCTGGCTGCCATGGCTTCCCTTGCCAAAGGTTAAAATGGATCTGATTCATTCGTCATATTTTGTTTGAAGGTTTTCCACTCCACGGTCAGTAGTTGAAATCGGAACCGTTCAGCACCGCAGGACGGACGACCAGTTCCTGAAGAAGCTGACCACGGTAACCTCAGGCATCACCATCGCGCGGCGAGGCGACCTGAAGCAGTACTGAGGCGGACTCTGAACTCGACTTGTACATAGGCCCACTTCTTCCCGTGGCACCAACTCTTTTTGTGTCGTTCTGTTCCTTGGTGCTACTAAAAAGTGGTAAGCCCCAAAAAGGTTCCCGATTTTTTCTACTAGCACTGAACAACTGGGAAGGTTGGAGAGGGGGCGTTGAATCACCCCGTTGGTAGGACATTTGCATTCCGGCTGGTGCAATGCATCGGAATCGGCCTGTAAAAAAGGCCCCGTTTCTGGCGTTTGGGTGTGAGTGCCGATGGACAGTTCCCATGTTCAACTATCAGGTTTGGTCCCGTTTTGATTCGCTTTCGCATCGGCCCCGGCCCCGGCTTTCGCTAGAAGCCTGAAACAAGTCAGATGCTCAGCGCTGGATGTGAAAACTTGGCGTTTGTCGCTTGGGTCCTTACCCGCCCTCCCACTCACATGGCACCAGACAGTGGGTCTCCTCAAGAGTTTCATCTTCCAGGTGCCCTCACAGAAGCGCCTTCTGTTAGTGAGAAGTGTAGCCTACATTGCTCTTGTCATACTTTAGTCTCGTTGGGTCTTTGTTGGGTCTTTGGCTTTGTCGATTTTCCAGGGGTTGTGTGGAGGACACGCCGGCCCATGATTCTGAATTGATGAAGCAGGGGTCTTCCTGAAAGAACGAAGCACTCAACAAACAGAGATCTCTATATCCTTTCTGTACTTTTCCTTCAGGGTCAACGTTACTTGCCGACCTGCTGAAGTGGTGGACTTTAAAGCTTTCTCGGGCCAGGATGTTGCTTTCTTGGGCGGTTCAATCCGCTCTTTTGAGGATGACTAGAATACTTCGACCAAAGTGGGATCGGCGTGTTTGCGGCGGAGGGGTGGTCAAAGCAGTTTCATGGTTTGGTAACGTATTATGGCAGCACGACCCAACCAACATGTTGTTTTTTTCCTTTTTTCTTTTTTTTCTTCTTTTTTTCTATTGGCTTCCTTCTTAAACCAAGTCGGAAAGGGCAATTACCAGGGCACCTTCGAAACGACCACGATTTCGGTAGCAGCGAGCCCTCAGCGAGCCCTCAGCGAGCCCTCAGCGAGCGGCTTCTCCTTTGAGCCATTGGCTAAAGGCCGTCTCCGGCGCCTCCGGCGCGCCTTGTGCCGTTCTTCCCATGGCGGCCCTTCGATGCGATGGGCGCGGGGCCGAGGGGGGGCGACCGTTTCGGTGGGGTGGGGTTTGGTTCGTGTTTTTTAAGGGGGAAGAAGGCGACCAAACGCTGACCACAGCCCAGTTTCAGTGTCATGGTTTGTTTCCGGACCTGTTCTTTTTTCTCCGTTTTGTGGAGCAGTGACCCTCGTTTTCAATGGACAAGGGGCGCGTTGTGTTTTGTTTCGGGGCGGGGAGGATATCCTTTTGGAGGGCTGCCCTTTCACAGTGTAGCCCTTTCAGAGGGCTCTCCTTTTCTGGGTCCCTAAAGTGCTCTTCATTGTTTTATTGGCTTGCAAAAAGCAGGCCCCATAGCTCAAATCAAAGTTTCAAAGCCCTATTTCGCTTGCAAAAAGGTTCCCCTTTTCTGCTCAAATCAAAGTTTCAAAAAAAAAAAACAAAAAAACGTGATTTGTGTCTCGTCAGGCCTTTGCCCATTGCCGTGCTCGGTTTCTGGTAGTACCTTGGATGAAACCTTGCTGGAAGTGACCCAATACATGGTCTCTGGAAATAAGAAGCCGGGCGGTGCTAAACAGGGCTTTTCTACAAAGGACCCTTTTCGGTGGCACCGCTTCAACTTTCGCTCGGAGTTGGGCAACTGGATGACGATGCATCTCTGGGGTTAAGGACGGTGCTCCCAATATATGGCAACCACGCCCCATGTTTGCCAAGGCCAAAATGACTTGTTCCTAGGACATGGGGGGAATTTTCCCCTCAGTGTGGGCACACATGAGTTTGGGTCAAGATTAAACCACCAGGGACCGCGGGTTTTAGTCCATGTTTCCATTTACCAGGGCAACCCGTTTTGGGTACTTGTGTTTGACCCACAGCATGGGTCAAAACCCCGTACCCCCAGTGAACATCCCAATCCAACCACTAAAATAGGTTCTACGATGGGTGGTGAATTCACCTATCCCAAAATGGTACCATTGGTTTCAACATGGGATTCTATTGGTAAACCAATGGTACCATTTTGGGGTAGGTGCACCGTTCACTGGGGATGCGATTTGGATTTTGACCCGCAGCCACGTGGGACAATTCTTCAGGACCACACGGGCGTTGAAGCGAAGCTTAGGGCCGGCAGCTCTCACTGGCCTCACGCGCCCTTGCGCGACTTTCGCGATGCGCGGCGCCCCGGGGCGACCTAAACGGGCGGGTGGGGTGGGTGGGGGGGATGGGGGGGATGGGGGGGATGGGGGCGATGGGGGGGATGGGGGGGATGGGGGGGATGGGGGGGATGGGGGGATGGGGGGGATGGGGGGATGGGGGATGGGGGGATGGGGGGATGGGGGGGATGGGGGGGGATGGGGGGGATGGGGGGGGATGGGGGGGGATGGGGGGATGGGGGGATGGGGGGTGGGGTGGGGGTTGGGGGATGGGGGGGGGGTTGGGGGGGATGGGGGGGGGGGCACCATTTGGGTCCGTCTTTTTTTGGGGGATTTGCCCCCAAAAATGTGGTTTTTGTGTTGGTTTCCCTTTAAACCACCAAAAAAGGAATGCCCTCCAGCAAGAAAGACGCATTTTGATGGAAGATCGGTTCAATTTGGACGGGAAACACGAATTTAATATAAACATAGGTACGCCTTTGCAGGGCACGACATTCTTTGCGGCGGAGAATCGAAGGACAAAGACTTCCCCCACTGCCCCCCAGACCCAACCCAAAGAAGAGTTTGACAGTGCAGCCGTATTTAGAGCTTATTTATTCTAATTTACCCTTGATATTTGTCTATCCTTAGGGGTGTGTTCCAGGGGTCTGGTGGCAAACATATTGATAGGTGATGCATCGATTGGATCAACCAATGCATATATGAGTAAATAGTAATTGAAGCATTCGATCGACCCACCCAGCAAGCAAGCAAGCAAGAAAGAAATAAGAAAGAAGAAAGAAGAAGAACAGATCAACCAAGCAACACAGAAACAAGGAAGCAAGCAAGGAAGCAATCACTCAGCTAGTCAACAAATCTTGAAACATTTGACGGGCGCGTGTCAAACGGGTTCCAGCTTGCACCAAAGGACCATCACGTGAGTAGCATCCTAGAACCCATTTGTTAGAACCCATTTAAGGTCACCCAACAGCCCGTAGACGAACCGTCCCAAATGCATGTGAGACAGAGTCGCGGAAGTTGCTGAAATCCCAATCAAAGTTTACCAATTTAGCCGGTACAGGAGGCCCTTGTCGTGGCGATTCTTTTCTTCCAGGGGGAACACGAGCCCTGTTGGAGACGTAAAGGAACTCCCTTTGAAGGACCCATATCAGGGGGTGGCTGAAGGTTGCCAGTTAGGTAGGGATCCATGCTCATAAGCCAACACATGAATTTGGGCTAAAGGGGCAACTTTCTGGCAGAATTACACACCCGCCTGTTGCCCGCGCTTCCTAGCATCTTTTGTATACTGTCTATCCCTTTCTCTCCCTTTCTCTCCCGTTCTCTTTTTCTCTTTCCCAGTTTCTCTCTTTCTCTCTTTCTCCTCTTTTTTCTCTTTGTCAATCTTCTCCCTCTCTCTCTCTCTTTCTCTTGCTTTCGTTCTTGCTTGCTTTCTTTTTCTTTTTTCTTCCTTCCTTCCTTCTTCCTTCCTTTCTTGCTTCCTTCTTCCCTTCTCTCTTTTTCTCTGTCTCTCTTCATTTTGACTGGGGGCAACGGGGCAACGTGCCCTCGTGTTGCTCTCGTCGAAGGGGTTCATGTGCACCTGGCCCGAAGAAAGCCAGGGCTTCTGCTTGTGGCTCTCCAAGTTTCAGTGGGGAGTTTTTCAGAGAAGTCCCCTCGGTGTTTGACTCTGGGGGAAATAATGGGAAATATAATCAACCAGTTAAGAGAAAGTCTCAAAAACATGACTCCCGAGCTCAAGTCCCTCCCTCTCGTGACTCGTGACCTTTCGGATTCAGGGAGCAGCACCAAGGACGGGCCCGGCTCTCAAACCCATGGGGCTTCTGAAGCGGACTGCAGGGAGTCTGGGCAGGGACCGAGCCTTTCAGGTAATATGATGTTTGATTCTTTATCTGCAAAGAAAAGGGGGCAGTTTTAACCATCCTTCTCTTTGGTTCCTCTATTTCCCCCGTTTCTTTTTTTTTTTTCATTTCCCCTGTTTCTATTCCCTGGGTTCCTTTGATTTTTGTCGGAGCTTGTCCTTTTGGAACCCGTTTTGGTTCCTTATGCTCCCTATGGTGACGTTTTTGGCGGGTGGTCCCCGACCTCCGAGAGCTCAGAGATTCGGAGAGGTCGCCGCGGCCGAGGTGTAGACAGCTTTTCGAAAATGCTCACAACGGTTTATGTTGAGCCCTCTCTCATTCCAGGTTTTGTTCATTTGGTTGTTGTTTTCTTGACGCATTTAAGCAAAGAATCGGCCAAAACCGATTCCAAGTCTCATCCACTCAGAGGGAAAGGAGTGCGGTGGATTGAACTGATTTCCCGTGGGATGCACCAAAAGTAGTGGGTAGAGGAAATCCACCTTTTGCAGGGTCTTGGAGTGTAATCCGCGTTTGATGGCTTCGGAACCGAGTGGATGATGCAGATTTGGTGGGCCTGCTTTTGTTGAGGGTGAGGCGTGTTGGTTATTTTTTTACAGGCAAACCGAATGGACACCACCCTCTTTGGGGATCCTGCATTTGAAGACACGCCAATTTCTTGAAGCACGCCACATTTGTGTCTGCATTCATTTTGGTGGGGCTGTATGTCTGAGCAGGTGAGAAGAGAAGAGTAATGAGCTTTCCCACTGGGCAAAAGTCAGAAGAGGGGGTTGTTGGATCACTTGAGCCTTGCCACGGATCCACAAATGGCAGAGCTGGCCCTCGTCGTTGCTGCCTTCCCCTTTTTCAAGCGGCAACCATTGAGAATGTCACTTGAGTTCCCCTCTATGCGACCTGTTCCTCCTGAATTGTCTACGTGTCATTCAGGACCCAATAGCCATCGTC